AAAAAAAAAAAAAAAATCTATCATTGAATATTTTTATTAAATAAAGAAAGCACAATTTTTTTGTTTAAATGAAAAAAAAAGCTACTTAAAACGGCCTGCCTAATGCCCCTTTAGGGTTGACAAATCCATAAACTTCCCCATTGAGAGTGTTCTTCTCTCGTATTGAGAGTGTGTCCAGGGGGAGTGTTCTTCTTCGCTGTTCGAAGGTGCAGAAAGTAATTGAAGGTTGTTAGGGACTAGCGGAAACTATCTGTTGTTAGGGACTAGCGGAAACTATCTTCTCTCGCTAGAGGTATCAATGGAGGAGGAGCTAGGATAACGCCTAGGGCAAATTTCCATTGCCGATGGGGAAAAACTTATTATTGATATAGCAAAAAGAGATGTGAGGATCAGTGCAGAATAATGCAATCGAAGCTTGTTTGGGAAGGTAGTGAGTGAAAAGAAGGCGAACTGGATGGGCATTAAGAGAACAATGGGTCTGTTATGGCAGGTGGGAAATGTGCTGGAAGTTCGTGAATTCAATGTAAATTACTTTAAGTTCATATTCCCCAATCGTGAAGCCATGTTACGTGTTGACCTAGGAAGAAGCTGGATTTTTTAGAACCAATATCTAATCCTGCAGCAAAGGAAGATGGGGCTATCAGAAAAGCATCCAAGCTTTGAAGAAATAACAATTTGGGTTCAAGGTCATGGTGTCCCAATTAACTGGATGAGCACAGATGTAGGGCTAAAACTAGGAAGAGCTTTCAAGGATATAAAGAATGTGAACCTGGTTAGAGCAAGATTTTAGGGGGGGGGGGAAGGATTATAAGGCTTCAAGTAACTCTTGACCTAAATGCCCTCCTCCTTAGATGGTCCACTATTAGACTGGGAGAGGAAGTGGTCACGGTTCACTTCAAATATGAAAAATTGTGAGCTTGTGTTACTACTGTGGGAAATTGGGCCATGCTGATAAAAATTGCTCTCAAAAAATGGAGGACATAGCTAAGAGAGAGTTGAAGGCAGGGCAATGTAGGGATTGGATGAAGGCAGTGGAGGGGGTGGTAGTCTCTAGATCACCATCAGCTAGCAACAATAGTGATGCATCAGCCATCAGACCATCTATGGAAAATATTCCATTTGAGCAAAAGGAGCAGATGCAGAACCAGCAACAGAATGAACAAACTGAAATATATGGGCAAGACCACAACTCTCCCACCATGGGGAACACATCCAAGCATATCTGTGTGGTGGAATCTTCATCTTCACTAGTAGGATTGGAGAGTACTCAAACTAAGACAAAGTCAACATTCCTATAACTCCACAGTCTAATCAACAACCTAAGAAGAACTGAGTTTGGACTTAATCCCAGAAAGAGAAGAGATTATAATGGAAACCCAAAAACAAGGAGAGCATGAAAATCTAGTTCCAGAAGAGAAAGAGAAGGAACATAATCAAAAGAGCAGGGTTTGGAAAAGGAAAAAAAAAACAATGGTGGAAAGATTGACAAGACAGAAGAAGCAGCCTTGCACCTAACAAGAACCAGTTGGAACTAGAAAAAGAAGAGGAGGAATCACCATTCTCGGTGAAGAAGAAGAGGTGGCTCAATCCCAGGGAATGGGTTCCAAAAAAGTCAAGGTCTCAGGCAAAGAGGTGGTGGTGACCAGCCTAAAATGGGCCCAAAGTGGCCAATGCTAGCCCTGGTGTGGAACTATAGAGGTGTGGGTGGCCCCTCTATAGTTCCCCAAATTCGAGATGCCTTAGACACTCATCACCCAATATATTTAATTCTGTTTGAGACTAAGAAAAATAAAATTTTTACTGCTTTAGTTTGTAAAAAAATAGGTTTTGTGGATAGATGTGGTTTTGTGGAACCTGTGGGAACTAGAGGGGGATTGTTGTTAT